CTCACTTCAGCTTCCCAAGTAGCTGGGACTACAGGTGCACGCCACTGCACCTAGCTTCACACGTCCTTTATATTTTGAGTTTCCATTTTGATTCACACAAGTTTTTCATCTAAATCAGACACCATGATAATAAAAGTAATCGTAGTAGTAGCACTGGTAGTAATTATAGTAACTAAAGCATTTTATGTCTATATGAATGAGCTATTTGGGAATTTGTTAAATTGATACACGATTCTGAAAAATTCTGCCATTACAATCTTGAGGGTTTCCTCTGCTGAATTTTCCATTTGATTCATAAATTGATGTCACATTTTAAAATATTTTTCTTATGTTTCATAATGGTCCTTTTTCATTCAATATTCAACCACAGAATATCCATTTTCTAGGGCCTTCAAGATGGTAGAATCATACACATGAACAGAGATTCTAGTACAAGCACCTCATTTTACAGGTGAGGAAAACAATGTCCGTTAATAGTTGTTGGCAAAGTAGGAACTGATGCCAGAAAAACAGCAGGTGTGAATCACCCCCAAGCCAATCCAGTGTTCCCCTGTGGCCATGAAACTGGGCCCAGGAGCTACCTGAGCACCTGAGATCCGGGGCATTTGCTTGGGCCACCTGGTAAAGATTGACCCCTGTTCCCCAATGACAGATCTTAGCATTGATTGACTCTTCCTTCCACGACGGCAGTTTTTTTGTTTTTAAATTGGATACATTTCAACCCACTCAACCATTTTCCCTCCATGTGTGATGCTGCTGCTCTTGCTCCATGGATTTCCTCTGTTCTTGGTTTTGCCGGGCATCCAACAGACACATATTTGGTACCTACTGTGTGCCAGACACTGCATCTCAAACAGTGGATTCCAAGGTAAACTAGACAGACACCCTGCCTCGGGGAGCACCTGTGTAGTAGATGAGACGCCCGGGCCAGCAGCAGATGAGAACGCAGCGTGGTGAAGGCAGTGGGTGCACCAAGAGCTATGGTGGATTTGCGGTCATTGTTTGCTGCAACTTCTATTTCTTTCACTTTCTGTTTTTTCTTTCAGTTTCCTTGTCTTCTTGAAAAAGTATAAGTGTTTGTCAAATAGCTTAGAGCTAGTAATACCTTTTTTTATTTTGTCATACGCCCATTGTAGGCCAAGCATTGTGACAGGTACACAGAGATAAACCACACCGACTGGGGAGACGCACCTATCACTAAATAGCTACATGGCGCCAGGCACGGTGGCTCACGCCTGTAATCCTAGCACTCTGGGAGGCTGAGGCGGGCGGATCACTCGAGGTCAGGAGTTCAAAACCAGCCTGAGTGAGACCCCGTCTCTACCAGAAATAAAAAGAAATTAATAGACCTACTAAAAATATATATATAGAAAAAATTAGCCGGGCATAGTGGCGCATGCCTGTAGTCCCAGCTACTTGGGAGGCTGAGGCAGGAGGATCGCTTGAGCCCAGGGGACTGAGGTTGCTGTGAGCTAGGCTGACGCCACAGCATCTGAGACTCCATCTCCAAAAAAAAAAAATTATAATATGCCAACAGCGCATGCCCAGGCACTCATGGGGGAGAGAATGCCTATTGGAATAAGAGTGGTCCTGGCTCTCAGAGGGTCTCCACTTTGCCCCCTGCTCATGCAAAGACCCACCCACCTTCATCCTCATCCATTGAGTTTGGTCTTTTATAGTTTGCAGGTCTAATACTCAGACATCTCACGGTGGCTCTGCCAGCCTGCCAGGTGCCACCACCGAAGGGACAGCCAGTGGCAGGGCACAGCCCCGCTGCCTAAGTCAGCATGGGGAAGGGGGGCCCTGCTGAGCCCCTGGCCTTGTAGGACCCTGCAGCCTCTTTCTGGAGGCCCTCTCACAGCTCCCCCATCCTCTCCCCCTTTTTGGTGGGATTGGTGGGGGTAGGATAGGCTGGGGGCGCAGCTCGGGGTTGTCTAGAGAGAGCCTCACATGCGGGCTTGGTCCCCTAAGGCCCCGAACAAGCTGCAAGTGCTGCTTCACTGCAACCCTGCTGGGGGCAACCCGTGTCCGGTCAGAGGCTGGACACTGGTCCGAGGGCTCAGCCAGCAGGACACCCTCCCTGGGCACACGCCTCCTGCCCGCTGGCATGGACCTAAGCGGAGAGGGGCCCACACAAGCCAGAATCAGGGGTTTCATCATCTTTCTTCAGCTCCTCTGGAAGGGAAAGGCTGGCATCAGGAGCCAGCCCAGCTGGGCAGGGCCTGGCAGTCGTCTTCCTGACTGTGGGTGGCAGCACAGGCCACCCTGTGAGTCACAGGCATGCTCCCTGGCTCTTCCCAGAGGGGAGAGGTGGAAACTGAGTGTGGGACCCTCATAATGTGCCTCGTGGAAGCCTCAGCCAGCAGCTTCAATCATCCCATTTAAGCCTTAATCCCTGGCTGAGCATTTTCGGGTGCATTCTGTAGTAGAAAGACGGCCCAAGCTCTCCAGGCATACCTCAATGAGCTCATGAAAGCCGCTCTCGCCCGTGTGCAGGTCTGATCTGAGAGCTCACGCTGTCCTCACTGCTGTCACCCTTCTCCCCCGCGGGTCGTGGCAGAGTGGTGTCCCAGCCACTGCTCCCCAGACGATTGGATGTTGTCTCTCTAGCTGGAAAATGGAGGAGAGAAGACTGGTGTCTCCCCTCTCATCCTTCTGTCCCGGGAGGCCCCACAACCAAGAAGGACAGACCTGTTTGACCTCCAAACCCTTCCACCTGTCACCGCAGCCCCAGCGTTTGTACCAGCCCCAGCGTTTGTACCAGCCCCAGGCAGAGCCCGCTGACCAGCAGCTGGCTCCGCAGTCATTTTGCTGGGAGGACTGGTTTGCTGTCTAGTAACTCAGTCTGTTTGTTGCAGGAGGAGGTCTGAGAGAGGAAATCCCTCCCGAATGTCACCATAGGCTCCCAGGTGAGCCTCGAGGAGGTTATGCATTCGCTGAGTTTGCATTTACAGGGGCGAAGGAGGTTAGGGTCTCTCCCCAGGCCCACGCAGTCCCTGCCGGCGTGGCCGGTGTGATGGCGTGGCCAGCGTGGGGGTCACTGTCCAGGAGGGAAGATGAGGCCTGAGTTGCAGCCAGTCCATAGCATGCTACTGGCAGGGGGCAGGTGCGGGGCAGAGGCCAGTGGAGCGGCAGCTGCCCCTGCCTCTCCTGGCGGCGCTCCTGTCCCCAACCAGCTCACAGGCCACGAGTCAGGCCAAGTCTCCTCACGGCCCAGAAATGTGGGCCTGAGATCAGGAAGATAAATACATTTCATCTGCACCTGGGCGTGGGCTGCACTCCCAGGAAGGTCCCCAAGGACGGAGCACAAAGGGCAGGGGTGGGGGCCCCTGTCTCAGTGCTCCTATTTTCTTACTCAGCATGTAAACCTGGGGTCTCACTCGTGGACCCACAGCCGCTGCATCCACAGACCAAGGACCTGAGGATTCGCGCAGAGGCCGGGGAGGGAGGGTTCATGTCACAGCTCTTGAGCGTCCCTGCTTCTCTCATTCCGCCCTCCGGGATGGTGGAAGGTCCCCAGGGAGGGGAGCAGAGGGGCTCTGGTGGGAAAGACGAAGGACAGGACACGCAGCCTTGCCCACTCTCACCCTCAGTGGCAGAGCAGCCCGTGCTCTTGGCAGTCACTCTCCCAAGCACCCTCTGCGTGGGGTGGGGTGGGGTGGGGTGGGGTGGGGGAATCTGTCCAGAGGGGCAAAGCTGGGGTCACTGGGATGATTCAATGTGCAAATGCCCCCCAGAGAGGCTAGGGAGGTGAGGTGCTGAATAAACTAAAAAGTAAGTTAGCGAACAAGCTAGCTTCTTACCAGATCTGACACCTCCTAGATATTTCCCCCTTACCCAGGACAAACGTTCAGCTTTAATTAAGTTTGATGGGAAAAAAAAAAAAAAAAAAGCCGAGCGCCCTCCCGGTAGGAGGCTGCCCTGAGGAAATCTGTCTTTGCGGGGCGGGAGGGGCCGGGTCAGCTGCTCCGCCTCGGCCTCTGGGAGCTCACTTCTGTCCCCTGCTGAACCTCTTCGGGGTCTAAATAAACAAGATCCAACGCCATCCATGAAAAGAACCCTCAGAGTGTCTTTTCATCCTGGATTTAACAATTTCAAACTTTCATCTGATGTTTTTCAGAAGAAGGGGTGAAGGGTCTTAAACTCTTAATTAAAAAACAAAAAAACAGACCGCAGCATCTTCTTTAGATCCTAGGCCTCTGGTCCCGGCCCCCGGAGCCTTTGAGCCCCGAGAGTTTATTGTAAACATCAGTGTCGCCAAAACCCACAACTGAGCGCTGTTACTGGGAAGTGGGTGGATGGGTGGATTTTTATTTTTATTTTTTTAAACTCCGTAAATAACGTGGCTGCTTCTTTCCACATCTTTACTTTGCATGGGCTCTGAATTTACCCAGCTGGTCAATCTCTTTTATGGTAAATATGTGCCCATTTTATTAAAAGAAAGGCCTCTTAAAATGCAGCTGGTAAGCTTCCTGTTTGCTAGTCCTCGCAGATTCCTTTTGCAACCAAAGCGGGCGTGTTACTTTGATAGTCATATGAAATAACCTTAACTTTGCCTGGGGATATTTATAACAAGACATGCAGAATTATTGCACCATAAAGCCTGCTTCACTGATTCTTGCTGATTAAAAACTTTACAAAAAAAAAAAAAAAGACTAATGTAATAAAAAAACAAAAAGACTCAACAGCTGGAGTTCTGAAGGCAGCCGAGTGGGAGCCGCGGTGGCCCGCCCGCGCCCTTGGCGACAGCGCCTGCGGGCGGGCGCAGCGGGGCAGCTGCAGGGGGCCCTTCCCGGAGGGGCTCCGCCGCGCCCACCTGCGCTCCCGCCCCAAGCCGAGGCGGCGACGCCGGGCTGGGAGGGACCGGCTTGTCTCTGGCACGCCGGAGGCCAGTGCCAACTTCTGCTTTAGGAGAAACGAAGGCAGAGCAATGCCTGGTGTTAGGTGAGGCAAAGACTCCCACCCTGTCCCCGGGCAGGCAGGCCAAACAGGACGGGGACATTTTTAATTGACGCCGGCACCTTGCAAGCATAAGCAGTTGGCAGAAGCTGGCAGAACCTTTATTCTTCCTTCCAAGGTGCCAAGTACCAGGCACATCCTCAAGGGGCCCGGTGGGGTTGTTTACCCCTGGCGCGCGGCCAGGAGCGAACCGGTTTCATCAGGCCCCGAGCAGAGACGCCACGAGCGCTGGCTGGGGCGTCCGGCTTAATCCTCCTGTTCTTTCGGAGCTGCCTTCCCATGGCCGCTCCTATTGTGAGCTCGTCTCTGCGCCCTCGCCCACGGCTTCTCCACCCTCCCCGGCCACACGCGCGCACGCACTCACACACACGCTCACACGCTCACACGTACAGAACCCTTAATCCAGCAGGGGCAGGGATTAGAGAGCTCCCCCACCTAGCTCGGGTGGAAACACTGCTTGCAAAGACAAAGAAAAGCAAAGCCTCAGTCTTGCTCCCGAGGGGCGACCAAAGACTACTGCCACACGTCGCCCCTGATGCGGGTCTTACTCCATGATGGGGCCAGGGAAGGGCTGTGCCGCAGAGGCGCCCCTGACATGCCCATCGCCAATCCTGGGTGACCCTCACCAACCGTGTTTGATATTGGGTAGAACAAAAGAATAATGATTCAGGGAACATTCCCACTGCAACTAAAAAGGCCACTACTCTTCCCGCCTTTGGAATCTGCTGGTTCCTGTCCCTTTCTCTGTCTTCATGAAAGGTAACCCTGTCACCCTGAGCTGTGTGTTTAGCTTCTCGCCTTTCTTTGCATGTCTATCATGTGTCTTGGTGTCTCTAACTGGAGTGTTCTGTTTGCATGGCTTTGGGATCTACGTGATGGATGAATGTAGGACATAGTCTTCGGCAACTTGCTTCCTGCCAACACCAGGCTCTTGGGAAGCAGGATTTTTGGGTGCAGGTGGGAATCATTCAGTTTCGCTGCTGCCTTGAGTGTTCCATTGAATCGACATCTTAGTTCTGATGGGTATTTGGGTTGTTTTCAGGTTTTTACTATTACAGACTTCCTGGCTATTCTGTGGACATTCAAGACATGTCTCTGTGCAAGACTTACTCCAGAAATGAGATTACTAGATTATACAATATGAACATCTTTAATTTTCCAAAGTGGCTAGGTCAGGCCGAGTGGGGTGGCTCACACCTATAATCCCAGCACTCTGGGAGGCCAAGGCAGGAGGATTGCTTAAGGCCAGGAGTTCCAGACCAGCCTGGGCAACAGAGGGAGAACCCCCACCCCCCAAAAAAAATTAGCCAAATGTGGTGGTGACCACCTATAGTCCCAGCTACTAGGGAGGCTTGAGCCCAGGAATTCAAGGTTACAGTGAGCTATGATTTGGGCCGCTGTACTCCAGCCTGGTTCACAGAGTGAGACCCTGTCTTTCCAAAAAATAAAATAAATAAAAAAGCAAGAAAACAAAATGTCTGGATCAGTCTATATTCTGACAGGCAGGGTAGTAAGTGTACCACTTGTTCCGCATCCTTATCAACACTTGAGACTCCTTTTTTTTTTTTTTTTCAGACAGTCTCACTCTGTTGCCTGGGCTAGAGTGCCATGGCCTTAGCCTAGCTCACAGCAACCTCAAACTCCTGGGCTCAAGCGATCCTCCTGCCTCAGCCTCCCAAGTAGCTGGGCCTACAGGCATGCGCCACCATGCCCGGCTAATTTTTTCTATATATTTTTAGTTGGCCAATTAATTTCTTTATATTTTTAGTAGAGACAGGGTCTCACTCTTGCTCAGACTGGTTTCAAACTCCTGACCTTGAGTGATCCTCCCACCTCAGCCTCCCAGAGTGCTAGAATTACAGGCTTGAGCCACCACGCCCGTCCCCTTTGCAATCTTTATAGTTTTTCTTTCTTTTTTTGTGCTCCTCTGTTGGCATCTCCAGTAGAAAATGGAGCAGAAGTAGTGACAGTGGACACATTTGTCTTGTGCCTGATATTAAAGGGAACAGGTGTGATGTTTCACCACTGATGACGATGTCTGCAGATACTTTTTTTTTTTGTCTTTAACAATGGAAATTTAGTTTGTCACAATTCTATAATATAGAAATCTCACACTAAGTTGTTGGTTGGGGGTGTGTCCTCTGAGGTCTCATATCTTGGCTTATTCATGTCCAGCTTCCCTCTCTGTGTCACAGGGTCTTCTATTGGGTTTCTGAGTACTAACTGATTCTTCATCAGTCCAGTCTTTTAGTATGATGGCTCACCTCACAGAACTCAATCCTAATTACATTTTTAAGGACCATATGTCCAAATACAACATTCTGAGGAACCAGGAGTTAGAATATTATTATATAGATTTTTGGGAGAGGATATAATTTATCCCCCCCAAATATACTAATCTCCTACAGAAGACAGACTCACAGAAAAAGCATTACTGAGTGAAAAGGTATGCCTACATACATTTTAATACCTACAGGCAGATTACTTTCCAAAAGTGTTGTGTGAAATATTCTGCCACCAGCAGTTTCTAAATGTAGTCACTTCTCTGCATCTAACCTCCCCTGAATATTAACTTTTAATTTTTTTGCCAATCTGGTGTCTCTGTATCAAATAGATCATCAGATACTTTTTACTGAGCTGCAGAAGCTCCTTTATATCCTTAAGTTGTTCAGAATTTTTTGCTTTATTTTTTTAAATCATAAATGGATGGAGTATTCTAAAAGCTACTTTTTTTCTACTGTAATTGAGAGGAAGACAAGACTTTTCTCCTTTACCTCTATTAATAGAGTAAATTACATTAATTGATTTTTTTAAATGTTTATGACCGACTAGGTCATAATGATTTTATACCGTGCTGGGGCTGTTAGTGCCCTGGTCATCTACTGCTGTATAACAAACTCCCCTCAAAGCTTAATTGTTGAAAGCAACATCGTTTTATTAGAACTACAATTTTGCAGGTCAGGAATGTGGGCAGGACTCAGCTCTCAATATCCCTGCTCCCTAAGGACTCGTTGAGGCCACTTCGTGGTATAGGATGGCAGATGGGTTGGTCTGGCAGGTCCAAGACAGCTTCACTCACATGTCTGCCTCGATAGAAATGGCTGATAAACTGGAATTGCCTGGGACTGTCACTGCAGCGCCAGCATGTGCCTCCCCAGCTGGCATTCTCAGGACAGTCCTCTTACCCTCAGCTCAGGCTCCTAGACAGTGTCCTGAGAGACTAAGGCAGAAGCTGCAAGCTTCTCACTAGCCTCGAAGTCATTCAGTGCCACTTCTGTCACGTCCTATGATTAAGTACTTCCCTAGAGCCAGTCCAGATTCAAAAAGAAAGTAATTAGACTCTACGTTTCTGTGGGAAGAGTAGCAAAAAATGCGTGATCATCTTTAATCTGCCGTCGTTAGCTAGTAGTTTATGATTTTTACACCTATTTATGATTTTTTTTTACAGCTGCTGGCTTTGCCACCAAAGTTATTGCTAGCCTCATTAAAATGAGATGGTGAGTCTTACCTATTTTTTTCTCTATTCTGAAATAATTTAAGACCAGTTTCATTCCTTGAATGTTGATAGAACTTGCTAGTAAAATCATCTGAGCCTGATGTTCCTTTTGTAGAAATATTTTTAAACTATCGATTTAATTTATTTAATGGTTATAGGACTATTTGAGTTTTCTGTTTTTTCTTGAGTTCGCGATGGAAAGTTACATTTATCTAGTAATTTGTCCATTTCATCTACATTTTCAAATTTTTTATCTTATCTTCTGTTTCTTTTTCTTTCCTTTTTTGTCTTCTTTTATCTTTTTTAATATTCACTTTCTTATTTTAACTTTTCATTTAGAAAAATTTAAACTCATATAAAAGTAGAGAAATATCTCTCAGCTTCAACAATGATCAACAAATTTTGTCTATCCTCTGTACCTTCCCCATAACCCACACTGGATTACTTTTAAGCAAAACCAAGACATATAATTTTATCCATACATTCTTCAGTCTGTACCTATAATATTTAAAAGGTATTTTATAAAACAAAACCATGTTACCATTATACCATCTTTTAAAATGGAAATTTTTAATATCATTAAATACCTGATCAGTGTGTAAATTTTCCTAATTGTCTCACAAAAAAAGTGGGTTTTTTTTTCTTTCTTTTTGGTTCTCTCGTTCTTTCTTCTTTTAGAGTAAACAACATTATTTTTTAAATCTCATTTTCCTCTTATTAGCTTGGAAATTATATAACTTATTCTTTCTTACTATTCTAGAAATTCTAACTTATCAAAGTCTGAAGTTAATCAGAATTTTTTCTCCCTTTTTTTTTTTTTGACAAAGTCTCACTTTGTTGCCCAGGCTAGAGTGCCGTGGTGTCAGCCTAGCCCACAACAATCTCAGACTCCTGGGCTCAAGTGATCCTCCTGCCTCAGCCTCCCAAGTAGCTGGGACTACAGGCATGCGCCACCATGCCCGGCTAGTTTTATATATATATATATATATGTTGGCCAATTAATTTCAATTTCTTTCTATTTATTGTAGAGACGGGGTCTCGCTCTTGCTCAGGCTGGTTTCGAACTCCTGACCTTGAGCAATCCACCCACTCTCCTGACCTGAGCAATCCGCCCACCTCGGCCTCCCAGAGATTTTCTCCCTTTTTGAACAGTATTGGGTTCGGAACACTTTAAATCCTATCAAACCCCTCCCCTAATCTCAGATTATATGCTAATAGTGTCTTATATTTTGGTTCTAATTTTTAACTCTAAGACTTTATTATTATCTTGTACCATAAACATTTGTTTGGGTTTACCCATGTATTTATCACTTTTTTCTGCTCATCATTCTTTCTTTCATCTCATTTTTTCATATGAAATCATTTTTCTTCAGCCTAAAGCATAACCTTTAGAATTTCCTTTGTGAAAGTCCTTTGGGGGGAAACTCTGTTTTTCTTTATCTGAAAATGTCTTTGTTTTGTTCTCATTCTAGAAACATTTTTCAGTGTGTCTACAATATTAGGTGGATGATTATTTTCTCTCAGTATGTTAAAGATGTCATTCTGCTGTTTTCTGGCTTCCTGCATGACTGCTGAGAAGTCACCTATCTGTCTAATTATTGTTCCTTTAGGTATTCTGTCTTTTTTCTTTTGCTGCTTTTAAGATTTTCCTCCATTTTTTTTTTTTGGTGTTAAAATAGTTTCATTGTATCTGAGTGTAGATAATGATGAAGGTGAAGGTGATAATGATGATTTTAACTTTTATTTATCCTAGTTGGAATTTTTTAGACTTCCTAAATCTATGAATTAGTGTCTTCTATCAGTTCTGGAATTTTTTTCATCTCTTGAAATATGATATTCCTCATCCTTTCTTCCTTATTCTGGAATGCCAGTTATACATATATTAATTTTCCTAATGCTTTTCATGTCTTTTAAGCTATCTTCCATATTTTCTATTTCTTTGACTCTCTGTGATACATTCTACCTGATTCTCCAGAACTATCTTCTAGTTCACAAATTCTCTCTTCACCTGTGTCTAATCTGCTGTTAAACTCAACTTCTCAGTTTTGCATTTTAATTATAATTTTCATTTCTTGAAATTGTGTTTGGTTCTTTTTCACATATGGTCATGTATAGTCCCTTACTCTTTTAAATTTCTTATTTTATCTTTTAAAATATATCAAATATTTATTTCATATTTTGCGTCTAAATTCCAATATCTGAAATCTTCATGGGTCTGAATCTTCTATCTTTTTCTCCTGTTTATACTCAATTACAATTTGTTTCCTTGTGTATTTTGTGATACACTAACTTTTACTAAGTTTTCAGTCACTTACCTACTTATTTATTTATTTATTTAGCCAAACTCATCAACACTCTTTAGATATCAGCATTGTTAATTATTTTCCATGGGAGGAGAGGTCAGGGCATCTTCTCCATCATTCTTCCAGAATTTAAGGCCATCTCTCATTACTGCTCCAGTTCCTATTCCCAGAGTGCTAACTCTAGACAACGTTCTAGGAGTTTCTAGCTTCAAAAGAGCCCACCTGACTGCTTTGCAGTCCCTGTCTCCATTTCTTTCAGATCCATCTGATGGTTGTCTGCTACTTGAAATCTTCTCCTCTTGGTCTGCACCCCCGGCCCTCTGCTTTCAGAGGATCCTCTGTCTTTCTACAAGTACAGTGAGACCATGAGGTGTGAGTTCTCTCATTTTCTACCCTCTCTACAATGCCTCTTTCTCCTGTCTACTTATTTTTCCCTCAAGTCCCGTTTGGAGAATTGTCCCTCCTTTCCAAAGCCAAATCCTCTATCCCTGCTATGGATTCCATCTCAGCAGCTGGAATTTCTCCTCTCCTGCACCCTTTCTTTGCATCTTTTGTCAATTATATTCTTGCTAATTTTTCGACGGTGAGTATAGTACTTTCTCTTCTGTGGTGCCTTTTGAGATGTCCTTTCCCCTTTATCCCAAATTGCCTCAATGAACTCCAAGATCACTTTATTGTTGACTTCAACATTAATGTAGGACTTAGCTGGCATGCAGCATTGCTATTTGCATAACGATCCTCTCCTCTAGAGATTGTGAGCTCCTGAGAGAAGTCACTGTTTTCTGGACTCTTTCTCACCATGCTATTTCTTACCGTGCTAAACACAATACTTTGCACATAGTGGCTCGCTGTAAATGCTATTGAATTAACAAATGATTCTCTTCTTTCCTTCCCTAGAATGCAATCTCGTCAACAATCTCTTTTTCTTATTTGGTCTTCATCTCTACTAGATCCTTCCTTTCTGTGGTCAGACATTCAAGTATTTTGGAACTTGAAGGGAAAGAAAAATATCTTTGCTTAAGCCTGCTATTTCCCTTTTTATCTTTTCCCTTCTAAATATCTTAAACATATGGTCTGTGACTTGTGTCTTCTTTCTTTACCCTGCATCTTTCTTTAACCATCTGTGATCTGACCTCCGCTTTCGCCACTCTGCTTAGTCTAACCTTCCTAAATGCAAAGTTTCCTTCTGATGACCACCACGTCCCCTCCTCAGTTTATATGTGACTCATGCACCCCTGCTGGCAAAGCACCCTCTGACCCTGCGGTGCTGGTCTCCTGCACTCTGACCACTTCCCTCCATGCCTCCCCTCCACCCACCCCTGCTCTCAGCTCCAGGCTTACCTGTCGGTGCTGAGGGTCCCACTACCTTTGTGACTTCAACTGTCATGGAGGGGACTGCTTTTCACACTTGATTCTTCTTCCCTAATCTCTTCTAACCCTAAAGTCTTGGATCCCTAAATCCTTCCCAGACATTTTCATTTGATGTTCCTATGCTTAAGATGGTTCCTTTTCCTAAATTTTTTTTTTTTTGCATTCATATCTTCCATCACCTCTTGCCTCATTTAGGCTCAAAAATCTCTCTTTTGTTTAATCCCTCCCAATTCCTTGCTCCCTTCTTCCTCACACCCTGTAAAAGTGGTTCTACCTCCATGAAATCTCTTTCCCTTCCAGTTGAGGACTTGCCCTGCCCCGCCAGCCTCTTTCCTTTCTCATCCTTTTGCATATCATTGCCTAATATTCTAAAAATTTCCCTGGTGGTCTATGGGAAAAAATTATGGATTGTGGAATCAGACAAGCAAGGATCCCAATTGGATCCCAATTCCACTGCTGACTGGCTGGGTGTGTTACTTCCCCCACTCTGTCAGGGCAATATCACTCATCATGTAGGATTTTATGGAGATGGTATAACAAAGTCATCTTTCTGTATATAGTTTTTTGTTTTTTTTTGAGACAGAGTCTCACTTTGTTGCCCAGGCTAGAGTGAGTGCCGTGGCGTCAGCCTAGCTCACAGCAACCTCAAACTCCTGGGCTCAAGCAATCCTGCTGCCTCAGCCTCCCGAGTAACTGGGACTACAGGCATGCGCCACCATGCCCGGCTAATTTTTTCTATATATATTAGTTGGCCAATTAATTTCTTTCTATTTATAGTAGAGACGGGGTCTCGCTCTTGCTCAGGCTGGTTTCGAACTCCTGACCTTGAGCAATCCGCCCGCCTCGGCCTCCCAGAGTGCTAGGATTACAGGCATGAGCCACTGCGCCCGGCCTATATTTTTGTTTTTAACAGATGAATAAGCAGTTTTGGAGCAATTAAGTAATTTCCCCAAAGTCATAGTCTATAAAGCAGGGCAGAGTTTTTCACATATCTCACAGGACAAGGTGAATGTAAGCTTTTAATTAATCTATATTAATCAATGATCCCATATTCCTAGTGTCCTGAAATGGATTCTAGATTCACGAAGTTCTTCAGGAGCCTGAAGACACTGGCTGGGACGGGGCTGGAGCAGCTCCAGGTAAACATGAGGGGCTGGGACCGGAGTGAAGACAGTGAGGCAGTGTGGGACTGGCGTGGTCAGCACACTCGCAGGCCGGAGGGGAGATGGGGAGGAGAGAGGATGGCATCCAAAGAATCCCTGGACAGCACGACTGTCACCAGAAAATGAGAAAGGATGTGCAGCTCTTTGTGTACTTTTAGGCTGTGAGTGGATTTAATCCTTTTCTGCCCAGGGCACTTCACTCTTCACGAACGTCTTGGGGATTTGGCCTATTGTGAGAATTGTGAGATCCTGGTAATACTAAAGCTCATTTTATAAGGTTGGCGGCCATTTCTTTTGAACCATCCATCTCGTCCTTTAAAGCAATGAGAATGATCGCTTTGAAAAATGCCCTTTCATGAAGAGAAGTGCAGTCATGGAAAGCACCCAGATAAAATTCGGGATCCCCCTTCTGCCTCAGCCCTGGATGCGGGAGAGACTACAGCCTCATGCTGAAGACTCTCTGATTGACGCTCTGGTGGAGCAACTCGAGAAAAAAGACAGAAAATGCACCTTAATCCATGACACCACCCTTTGCTTTGCCACTTGGGGTCCTGTGTCCAGCTTCAATATGGCAGCAGTGTGGCTGCAACCTACTTGCCCGCGTTCTCCTCATGCCTGGGAACTGTGTTTTTCTCTCTGCCTCATACTCCTGAGATCAGTGGCTCCTGCTGACCATCCATGTAGGACTCCCCGGGGAAAGCATTTTGTGGTGAGTTTTGTTTGGAGAATGCTATATGTCATTACCCCCTTCTTCAGATTCCCAGTGAATATCGGAAGTTGCAATAAAGACTGTTTTCGACAGTTGATTTTATTGTTTATTACCACAGTACTAGCTCTGAAGGCCCAGGTCATATCCTGCAAGAGTAGGGCTTATGGAATTCCAGAAGCTTCTCTCCTCAGAGTCTCTCACCTCTAGCCTGAACTTTAATTGTCCTGGGTTCAAGGCCAACCTCTCCAGCAACAGCAAGCACAGGGTCTAGGGCCCATGGATATGTTTTAATTGAAAATTCTTTCTTTTTTTTTTCTTTTTTGAGACAGAGTCTCGTTTTGTTGCCCAAGCTAGAGTGAGTGCCGTGGCGTCAGCCTAGCTCACAGCAACCTCAAACTCCTGGGCTCAAGCAATCCTTCTGCCTCAGCCTCCTGAGTAGCTGGGACTACAGGCATGCGCCACCATGCCCAGCTAATTTTTTCTATATATATTAGTTGGTCAATTAATTTCTTTCTATTTATAGTAGAGACGGGTCTCACTCTTGCTCAGGCTGGTTTCAAACTCCTGACCTCGAGCAATCTGCCCGCCTCGGCCTCCCAGAGTGCTGGGATTACAGGCATGAGCCACCACGCCCGGCCTGAAAATTCTTTTAAAATCAGAAGAAAAAAATGAATTTCAGTCATCTATATAATATGTGATATATAAATCCAGCCTGGGTTATATTTGTCTTCTGCTATGGTTTGAAGGTTTGTCCCCTCTGAAACTCATGCTGAAACTTGATCCCCAAGTTTAAGGGGTGGTCTTTAAGAGGTGACTGGATTATTATGCGGGCTTTGTCTGCATGGACGGATTAGTCCATTCTTGGATTAACGGGTTAATGGATTAACGGGTTATCACAGAGTGGGACTGGTGGCTTTATAAGAAGAGGGACAGGCCCCTGGGCTAGCATGTTAGCATGCTCGGCCCCCTCAGAATTCTGCTGAGTCCCCGGCAGACATAGCAGCCCCTCGAATTTAGACTTCTCCGCCTCCATACCCATAAGAAATAAATTCCTTTTCTTTATAAATGGTCCCGTTTCGGGTAATCTGTTACAAGCAACAGAAAACAGACTAGGACATCTTCATACCAATGCCATGACAAAAGATATGTTTAATATTTTTTAATGGAAGAAGGGGCTCCCGGAAGCAAAGCTGCCTTGGGCCCCCAAGGTCACCACGCGGCTCTGCGTGTCCAGCACTGCCTGTGCCGTTGGGCACAGCTTCTGCCCTCGGGTTCCATCAGCAGCAAGAAAGTAAGCCGGATATTTTAGATGTCTGAGTGGGTGGGAAAAGTGTTCCCTGATTCCCCATCTTCCAAAACAGGCCTAAGGGAGAACTCGGCATTTGACAGTGGCTTTAGGGAGGGAGGGCTGGTCTGATTGCTGACCCTGTCACGTAGGCACGTCTTCAAAGGAGCCTGCCCGCGGAGCAGGGCGCTAGGTGGCCAGTGAGCCCAGGCTGGCACCATTTCCCTTGGGTAAGTGCATGGGAGGCACCCAGCCCTCCGGGTGAGGCGTGGAAGGGGGTGCATGCTCCCCTTTCCGTAGAACAAAGGCCCTCTCATGTCCTGGGGACCCGGCAGCTCTCAGGAGTCTCTGCATAGCGAATGTCTACCATGCAAGCTTAGTTTGTGCATTTATTTATTATTTATTTGAGACAGAGTCTCGCTTTGTTGCCCAGGCTAGAGTGGGTGCCCTGGCATCAGCCTAGCTCACAGCAACCTCAAACTCCTGGGCTCAAGCAATCCTCCTGCCTCAGCCTTCCGAATAGCTGGGACTACAGGCATGCGCTGCCATGCCTGGCTAATTTTTTCCCTATATATATGTTAGTTGGCCAATTCATTTCTTTCTATTTATAGTAGAGACAGGGTCTCGCTCTTGCTCAGGCTGGTTTCGAACTCCTGACCTCTAGCAATCTGCCCGCCTCGGCCTCCCAGAGTGCTAGGATTACAGGCGTGAGCCACCGCGCCCAGCCTGTGCATTTATTTTTTTCAAGAAAATTCCTCTTAACCTCTGGATTTGGGAAGTGTGTGTTAAACGGAAAGGGTTCCCCATGCCTCACGGGTAAATTCTCCAGCGCCCCTGCATCCTAGGGCATCAGGTGCCTTGGGACAGATGTCCCACAGATGTCATAAAACTCCTCTGAGGTCAAGTGCAAGGGGCCAACAGTGCAGTGGGCACAGGGAGGCAGCCTTATGTCCCTGCAGGGGCCCTGGGCGAGCACCTAGGTGACAGATTAAGGCACCAGCTCCAGCACTTCCGGCTGTGAGGAGGACAGGAGGGTTTTTCCAAGCACTGTCTGGATGGCAGCATGTGGGCAAAATGAGCTACAGGAATTACGTGTTTTAACCCTCACCAAAACCGTCTAAGGGAGGCCAGAGGAGGAAACTGATCTTCAAAGAGGTTGTGGACGGACATGCTGAATTGTCCAATGGATGACCCTCGAGTTGCCTGGCAGCTTCCTGCTTGCTATCTCCAAGTCCCGGGCAGCTGGCGTTCCCAGCCCTCCGTGAACACCCACATCTATGCTCGCACTGCCCCGCACCCCTGCACGAGAGGGGCACCCTTAAGGCTCCCTTTATACCCTCGAGCACAGGCATGGCCCACCCTGTGGTGGTGCAGTGGTCTGGGCTGGATGCCCAGAGAGTGCCGGACAGACCCAGGTCCCCTCCTGCCCATGACATGCAGCCTGCCCCACAGCCTGCGACACTATGTGGCTGCCTGTGCCCCTCAGCGTCACCAAGCTCAGGCACTGTTCCCAAGGTCACATAGCCAGCAAGGGGCAGAGGCAGGCTTCAAACCAGGCCAAGTGATTCCAGAACCCGTGTGTGCCTAACCACTGCATTCTCCCCTAGCTCCGTGTCTTCTTCCCAAACAGCCTGAATAACCCTTGCCTTGGCCTTCTCACCATCCTTCTGGGAAGGTCAAGTGAGATAATTCATGCAAAAGCACTTTGTACGTGACAGGCGCTCTGCTTCCTGGCTTAATAACCCTCCCCAACCCACTCACACCTCTGTATTTTCAAATTCCTTAGTGAAGGGTTGGTTGTGTTGTCTTGATTTGGGGCAGTAATGATTTCTGGAAAGTAAAGTTATTGATAAGTGCAAGTTCAGAGCCCTTGAGGGGGTTGCATTTCAACATGGTATAGTGATGGGGAGATAGAAGGCTGGTAGGATCTCCAGTTTCTAGTTGGTCTCCCTTCCTCTCTCCTTTTCTTCCTTCATCTTTTCTTTAATTTCTTTCCTCCAGCAAATATATTTATGAAGCTGGCACCGTGCTGAGCTGTCACAGTCCAGGGCTCTGTTCTGGGCACTGGGCAGTCTAGAATGACTGCCAGCAGATCAAGCAGCTCCTCCCAGAGGCTGGGAGAAGGGTTCAAGGTGAGTGGGTGGGAGGATGGCCCCAGCCTGGTCTTTCATATAGAACTCTGAAATGTGTCATGATCTATTATTTTTACCAGTTATTCTAAATATAGACCTCTGTGCAGAGATAAGATAGAAAGGTGAGGAATGAGGAGGAAGGGGGTAATAGAAGGTCACAAACAGCTCTTCCTGAAAAGTCACTCAGTCGGCTCATCGAGCTGGACTTTGGGGTCTTTTAAAGGTTGGCGTTAGATCCTTAAGTCCGGTGCCACCCAAAGCTTCCACCAAGTGGCTAGAGGCAGAGGAGAGTGAATCACTGTCCCTGAAGGAGACTCTGACTGAGCCTGAGGCTGCCAGACACAAGGGAGATTTCTTTGAAGTATCTTTTGTGGCTTAAAGATTAATGTAATTTTGGCATGCTTTTCATAACACAGCTGTTTGTTTTAATATTAAAAATGTCCCCCCAAGAGCACACATATTGTGTGGTTCTGTTCCTATGAAAGGTTCAGAGTGAGCAAATCTATGAGCACAGAAAGTAGATTAGTGGTTGCCAGGGGCGGGGAGGGCTGGGAAGGGAGGCGATGGTCATAGGGGTTTCTCCCTTTGGGGGTGACAAAAATGATCTAACATTGATTGTGGCGATGCTGGCACAACTCTGTGAATATACTAAAAAACCACTGAATTGTACACTTTAAACGGAGGGGATTGTATGAGGTGTGAATTATATCCCATAAAGGTATTTAATAAAATGGAAAACCGTTACTTCCAATATTCAAGTAAAATTGGCATTCTGGGCCAGGCTCGGTGGCTCACGCCTGTAATCCTAGCACTCTGGGAGGCCGAGGTGGGTGGATGGCTCAAAGTCAGGAGTTTGAAACCAGCCTGAGCGAGAGTGAGACCCCGTCTCTACTATAACTAGAAAGAAATTAATTGGCCAACTAACATATATAGAGAGGAAAAAATTAGCCGGGCATGGTGGCACATGCCTGTAGTCCCAGCTACTCGGGAGGCTGAGGCAGAAGGATCGCTTGAGCCCAGGAGTTTGAGGTTGCTGTGAGCTAGGCTGACGCCACGGCACTCACTCTAGCCTGGGCAACAAAGCGAGACTCTTATCTCCCTTTATTGAAAGTGAGGGGTTAGGGATGAGTGGTTGTGGGCACAGATGGCAGCATGAGCTATTTCACTGAGGAGGTAGGTGTTTGGGCGACACGTCCCAGAGACGACCCCAACAGGGAACTCTTTTTTTAAAAATTTTATTCATTTATTTATTTTGAGACAGGGGCTCGCTATGTTGCCCATGTGGTCTCTAACTCCTGGGCTTAAGTGATCCTCCACCTCTGCTCCCTGAGTAGCTGGGACTACAGGTGCTCACCACCACGCCCAGGGAAGGAAACCTGGGGAGGTGAGACAGGGCGGTCACACTTTCCCTGCCTGCCCACTGATTTGAATTCAGACATCTTACTATCTTTTAATTAGATCCATAAGATTAAATTTAAAATGATCTGCTTGTCTAATCTAGTATGTTTAAAGCACTTTTAAAAATCTGCAGAACCCTTTATTCAAAAGAAATAAAAATCCATAAATCTAAGAAAAGCAGAACTGGGAAAAAAAAGGGCTTCTTGGAGGATGAACTACCCAGAGCCCCAACCCCTAATAGTTCTGGAAGCCCTTGAAAATTCTAGAATTCCTCTGAAAACTACTGATGTAGTGTCTCATTTCCCACGTGAGGAAATGAAATAGAATAATGGTAATCATGCTTATATTTTATCAAGGTCTTACTATGTACTCATCTTTTTGTCTTCCCAATGGCCCCACAAGACCAGGGTGATTTTCTTGAACTGTCAG